CCTGGACGGTGCGGGCTCTCTCCTCCTCTGTGTTTTGGGGGCTTAAGAATTGCGGAGTGGAGGAGGCTTTCCATGGCTTTCCTCTTCTCAGAGGGGCTCTGCAGCTTGCAGAGGCCTAGATTTGAGCCTCCTCCACAAAAAAAATAACAAGAAGAACCTGCAAAACACCTAAACACTCCTACTGCTGGTCGACCCCTACTGCTAGAAATGGCTAACCCCAGCTCAGCCCTTCACTGACTCCGCCCTTTCCACTTCTTGGAAAAGAAGGTTCGCTCGGTCGCGCAGTCGGCCATCACCGGTGGCAGGTTCTTGTTCTGGTTCATGGAAAAGGGGCCGGGTGCAACGTTCGCCACGAGGACCGCGAGGTCCAAACGTTCACTACTCCAGGTCAACAGCTCGACCGCTTCGTCGGGGTTCCAATCCCCTAAGACTTGGTGATCAAGGCAAAGGATTCCATGGACTTCCTCCCCACCAGGAGCACTGGAAGGAACTGGGTGGATGTCTTTTCTTCCTGCCAACAGAGGTTAAGTGACCTGAACTAGGACCCGTAACCCAGGATACGCCACTGGGATAGTCGAACTAGGGCCTATAGGGTTCTTCAACCTCTATTGGTGATGGGTCGGTTTCAGTGCCCAGCGCACACTCCACGTCTCCGCGTCTCTTCCCGCTCTGCGTACCCCGCCTCGGATCTTCAAGCGTCGTGGGACGGTGCCCGCCTGGCGACGTGTGGATGCGGAGAGCGAACACCCAAACACCGAGCGAAAGCAACGACGACCTGACCAGTCGTAGTGACCTCGGAGTCTGTGACCTCTTGAGGGACGATTCGTGACCGACCCGCCACTAGGATCTCAAGGACGGTCACTTGGAAGGTCTTGGTACCTGGGGCCTCCATGTCGGAGACCTGTTGGAAGGTGCTCGGTATATAGACCTGGGGTCTTCCACCTATGCAACACATCTGTCTTTTCATTCAAACAAACAGCCAAAAAGGCACATCTGTGGCCTACTTGGAAGATCCACATGGCGGTCGTCTGGGACTCCTTCGTCCTGCTGCGTCCTCCGTCGGCACCTCCGGAAAGGGCCAGGACCACACCTCTCGCGTTCCTACGGCATCGAAGGCCGGATCGCTCTCCTCAGGGCGGGGCTCAATGATTCGTGTGAAAAGAACACCATCAATTCCAAGTGAGCCCAGTGCATTTGAGTTACCACTATATATATATATAAAGGAACCAAAGGGATTCTAGGTCTATGGTTCTAGTCTTTGGAACCACTGGTTACCAGCGACATCGTGGTAACTGGATGCCCTGGGGAGTGGAAGTGTTTCTACAAATGGCTGAGATACGAGTTACTGGACCCATAAATATCCGATCACCGTATTACCGTGTAGCGTATGTTTCTATGGAACAGTGTATGCAACATCAATTCCATTCGGTGTTCTGAGGCTACTCTATGGACGCAGGTGCACATCAACGAACCCGGATCAAATGTTGAGTTCAACAGGAGCCGTTGAATGACCTACAACCACTGCAGGAAGTTGATTGCATGAGTGAACTCATCATTCTGAGCAACCTCTGTGCTGATGGTCATCACCGATCAGATCAGCTTTCGCTTTTCCGAAATCCATGATGTGAAATAAGGGAACACCCACACACTCATGGGCTCTCATATGGAAGGGTCGGACCCTCATATGGAGGGGTCTGTGGTCTCAAATCCCTAGGTTTTCAGGGACCAAGGGCTGTTGTTTGGAGCGTCTGGGCAGTACGAAATCTGCAACTCTTACACACCGAGTCTAGTCGCCCCAGTCTCAGACTCTTCTTCGTCCACAACACATCGCCTCTTGGCTGAGTCCAACGCCGGGCCCCAGATCAAACATCACGTGCGCCGGCCCAATTTTTGCCGAACAGTACGACCAAACGGTGACTAACAGGACAAACCCTTGTGCTTTCGGTCTTTGTCCAGTTGATTTCTGCCTGATTTGAAGAACTCATGTGGTTCCTTCACCGGTGTTGTTGTTTCTTTTTCCGCTGCACGGATGCTTTTTGGCTCTTTGGCCAGCCACTTGCTTGGATAAGCTTGGTATCTTAGAAGAGGGACGACTTTAAACGCTTCCAAGGTGAAGCTACCCTTTCGGCAGCTCTCCTCTGTCTGGAGTGGGGACCCTTCGGGCAACCAAGTAGATCGACTCTTGTGGCGCAAACATGGCATCCCCGCCCTCCACTCCTCGCATGAAGTGTCCCGTCTCTAGAAGTTGGAGCTTCCCCTGTTCAATCATCATATCCACCATATCTCGATAGCCATGCTTCTCACCTTTCTTCCACAAATAGGAGCGCATGGCCGTAATGAGATAGCCTCCCTCCTTCAATGCATTTACACAGTCTGTGATCGCCTTAGCCGGCATGTGGTTTGGCACCCAAACACCATGAGCAGTCACCAGGTCATATCGTCCCAAACGCTCCCTTGGCAGCATTCTCTCCCCCAAGTAGAAGGACTCGCAGCTGCGATAATGACCACGCCGCGTGGCTTCTGACACAAACTGCTCTGAGGCATCCATACCATCAATCTCTCGAAAGCCCTGCTCATGGAGCAATCTGCCCATGAGGCCTGTTCCACAACCTGGGATTTGCTGAAGAAAACCACAGTAAAGAGTTATATAACACAAATTAACCTGCTACATCCTACTACAAATTCTCCAGAAGTGGATACACCGAAGGGAAACATATGAAACAAAGCGTCTGGAAGCGTCAACCCAGCGGCCCACATCATAAATTTCACTGGAAGCATCAAGGCCAGGTTGCTCAAGGATCTTTGCAAGAATATGGTCGCTCTCAGTGCAATTCACCATTCGTACCATTTCGTCATATGCCTCTGGATCCATTGAATTATAAAAGGATCCTATCTTTTCCGTGGGCATTGATCGAAATCGCTCCATCAAAGCTTTTGCGTCTTGCGCCAGGCTCGACATTTGGAACCGCTTTGCAGAAACAAAGGACCGAGAACTGAGAGCTATGCTGCAAGTACTCTACTGCAGTTGTGGAGGCCATCGCTAGTAGGTTCGAGGCCATCGCTCTTAGGTTGGAGGCCATTGCTGTTAGGAAACAAAGGACCGAGAACTGAGAGCTGTGCTGCAAGTACTCTAGTACAGCTAGGGCTGATAAAACAGGTTACCAAATGGCATGCACCCAACGGCACAATATGTTTCAGAAAAAGTTGTGCTTTGAGATTTCAGGTTAAGTTTTACAGAACAAACGCAACAGTGCCTTGGCGAAACAACTTAAATTCCAAAGACGTGCTGCTTGTCCTGCATCTGGAGCCAACGTGCTTCTTGCAGAATCTATTTGGACATGATGCACCCTGCAAGAGAACCAACACTGTGAAATCTGCTAGGACATGTGTAATCATATTGTTCTGTCTTGTGGTGGGCGGGGGAAAGCAAACATAACAACCCTTTTCATCCCATTCCCAAACCAACAGTGAGAGAACAGACTGGAAGAAGCCAACTGTGGCAGGTTTGTCGCTCGTCATAGAAGATGCCACACTTCCACTTTCAACTGTCCCATGAACTGTCACCATGACTTCAGTGAGGATGTACTGAGAAAGAAAAACACCTATACAACTTAAACAAACAAGAACTATCAACAATTGCTTTCTCAGACTTCATCTTCCGATCCTTCAGTCGAATCTTCAAGTACAGCGCAGCCCTTTTGCTCCGACTGGGCGCTGAAAACGAAAGGCCTGTGCCTTGCAGTTCTGATCCAGCTGGATCTGGCTGTTCCTTGTGACGCTCCTTTGAGCAGGCACTAGGTTTAAACTCACTGAGCCAATTCGATTAATCAAAGTAGATTTAGAAAACAAACAACATATTGGATCACAGGAACTGGAGATCACCTGTTGGCTTTGTGAATATCCGTGTGAATCTCTCTGAATTCCCACACTCCAATAGCTATAGGATATGATGATCAGATAGGCAGAGCGGCCGCTAGGCAAACAAGGATGGTCCGCCACTCAGCTGTTGAAAGAAAGAAGAATTCCCACACTATCTCTGCCACGGATGCTGTCGCACAGATCTCGACGTCCCTTCCTTCGCTCGAGCCGAGGCCAGCGGCGCGGTGGTGGCTGTGTGCGGTGGCGGAGCGGTGCGTTGATGCGCCAGGGCCAGCTTATGCCCTCTCCGATCCAAACCTTGAAGACGGTGAAAGAGGTGAAAGGTTAGTTTCAAAGGAGAACATCTTCCACATCTTCCCCTGTTTCGTAGGACCCAGCGAAAGGGGATGAGAAATCATCCGTTAAAAGCAAAAACAGGAAAGAACATGGGGGGGGGTGGGTCTCATGAAAACTATCCTTTTCCAGAGAAACCAGGACACCTTCTATGCTGGCCTGATGGAACTTGGCACTCTTCGTCGCTGTGCCGTCCAGGGAACGCTTGCTGCTGGCCGTGGGGGTGGTTTTACTGAGTCCTTGAAGCGCAGGATCTGCATCTTGATTTTGCTTTTCGGGGGGGCGCAATCAGAGCCTAATAGCAAAAGGACGCTACGAACGGAGCAACTAGGGCATCGCTACTAGGAGCAAGGACGCTACTAGGGGTCCTGGCCTTACTACTAGGAGCAAGAAGCTACTAGGAGCAAAGGGCATCGCTACTAGGAGCGAGGACGCTACAAACGTAGCTCCTGGCCTTACTACTAGAAGAAAAAGCTACTAGTAGGCTACTAGGACCTAATAGCGATGGCCTCCAACCTAATAGCGCTGGCCTCCAACCTAGAAGCAATACCCTCCAACCTAATAGCGATGGCCTCAAACCTGCTAGCGATGGCCTCCAACCTACTAGCGATGGCCTCCGACCTACTAGGGATTAATCTTTCGTTCTTTCTTAGGAACATGTTCTAAGATGTGCTCGTGCGTTGGTTCATCTCACGTATAGCCATGTACATGCCTCTGAGACCATTCACGCCTCTGCCGCACCTTATCCTACAGCTTCTATTCATTAGCGATTTACTCGTGTAGTGTATTGTGGTGTCCTTGAAAGACGTTAGAAAGCAACCGAAAAAGGATCAAAGATTGAGGATTCCCTATTGCAGCAAATGATAACTGACAATTGATGACTTACAAACATGCTCGTTTACTGAGTAAACATGATTCGTACAAATCCAGAACTACCAACCTCTGTCCTGTGGAGAGTCCCTTGGTTTTTGGACTGGTCATCTTTGGGCTGCCCAACAAGCAGGGTGATCGAGGCTGCCACTGTGCTCGCGTTGGAGGCGGCTTGGTCTGTTTTTCCTCTGTGATGGTCTCTACCCGCGGCTCCTACACAGGGCTGAGACCCTCGAAAACTCGCGGACCCTGATGCAAACTGATGCAAAGTTACAAAACCTCTCCGGAAGTCCCAAAACCGCACCCTCAATGAGCCTCAACCCGGATACCACGGTCAGCGGTGTCAGCGCAATTCTCTCATGTTGGTTGATCATACTCTACGTAGAGACGCTCCAAGTACCTCCCAAAACAGGTGCAAGTACCTACGAACAGTATCGAATATAGACCAAATATCATAAAATAACAGGAGTATAATAAGGCCATAGAACTGGAGACTTCAAGCAATTCTCTCCTTCTTGGCACCCCAAAAAAACCTCCCTCATCCCCCCACGGTGTAATTTGTCTCTCCTTCTCAGGCTCTGAGTCGTGCCTTCTCCGCCCAAGACCTTCAATCACCGGAGGTGACCGTTCGGCCACCAATGCACCTCCTTCGCGCACGGCCTGCGCGGCCAGGTGAATAGGTGAAGAAACAGCACTGAGTGGAGGGTTGGGAACAGGACCTAGGTAGAAAACGATCGGAAGAGAGGTGTTTTGTGACCTTAAAAAATATAGGACATTATAGGACCATATGATCTGGGCTAGTCTATGGGATAGTCAAACTAGGGCTCTGAAAACCTGTTGAGTCTAATTATATCGAGCTGCATGACACAGAATTTCCGCCAATCATGTCAACTCAACAAAAGGATAGACCGATAGACCCTGAGTCTGGATAGATCCAGTCATCAAGTCCTTCGTGCTTTGTGTCCTTGTCTTGCTCTAAAGATCCGGACTGCTTTTTCGTCTCATCTGTTCGTCTTCTCTCCTGCGCCTCGTCTTCGGGCAATTTCTCCTCGCTCTCCGCTCGCCTCACCTGGTAGCGCATCGCTACATATTCCCGGGAGAGGAAGTTCAAGCAGCGCTCCACCTGAAGCCGGACCGCAATTTGTGTCGCGTAGACTACGGCCCCGTTTTTTGGCCCCTTGCATGTTGTCAGAAAAGGATATAGGATAGGCATGTGAATTTGGACGGGTGGTTTTGGGATCTACGGACGTTCTCAAACAGGGCTTGTTTGTGCCATAGCTTGATCGAGGCAACTTGGGGTTTGGAGTTGAACCAGTGCGCCTCCTCGCTGTTCAAGGATGTCTCTTGCGAATGCCTCAGGAACTTCCGCTGCCCCAAAACTGTCATGATGGCTGAGAACACACTGGTACAACAACATCTGACATGTAAACTTGCATATAACTATATATACTATAAACATCTATAAACTATATAGCTACAGTATATTTGTATTATACCGCATGATATGAGTAGTTGTCTATAAGGTAGAGATTGTTTCAAAAAGGACAACTGATTCCAGAAGTCCTTGCTTTGCCAACTAAGATGCTGCTCCAATGTGAGGATTCGATGTCGCTGCATGCTCAAGAGCTTCGCAATACTCTCGCTGTGTCCACAAGCAAGCGCCAGTTTCTCTGCCCACAAGGAGGCTTTGGCGTCAGTGTCTAGGGTCATGGTCACCCAAGATGCTTGATTTCGACTCAGTATCACGAGCGATCCTTAGGCAACAAGCTGGGCTCTGACGTCAGCTGTTTCAGTGTTTGGCGGTTGCAACGAAGCACATCCTCCACATTCAACAGGTACAAATGCCAGAAAGATTAAAACTGATTGAACATATCGAACAAGAACTTCACGCTTCTGCGATGTGGATCCGTGGGAGATCTTTTTAAGTTCTTTCTCCGAAGGACAAGAGCGTTCGAATCTGTGATCATTGGATTCGTTTACCCTCCCTGACAATCATGAACGCCGCGGATGGCATCGTGCCTGGAAAAAGCATGAATTCTCCGATTTACCAACCCAGACGGTTCGGAAACAGAAAAACGATCCTTCCGCGGAACCCGTCCTCCCGCGGACGATGACATCCCAGGAGCCATGACAGCGCACCGCTGCGCCCGATAGGTTCAACTCCAAGACTTCAGCGCTTCCCTCCGCGAGGATGGCTTCCCCATCCGCCTCCCTCCGCGCGCTCCGCGCGGTCTCGTGTCGACGAATCAGAAGGAGATCCCCGCGCAGGCGCACGGAGCAAGGGGCCTGACGCACGAGGACGAGGCGACGACGAAGAACGCGAAGAGAAGGGAGGACGAGGATGTCTCGATGGTCTGAAAGCCTCAAACGTGATGAAATGTTCCAACAGCATCTGGGTCGACATTGAATTGGACCCTGTTATTGCATCATGTGGATGTTCGTGTATATTCTTGGCGTCGAGTCTTTCTGCACCAAACAATAGCATGCCCCGACAAAAATGAAGAACTCGGCCAGAAGCAACCATACAGATTGCAAATTATTTGCAAAGCTCACCACCCAGACCATCCACAATCACATGGAATAGAGAGACTTATTATACATATTATGTAACACAATCTTACGTATATTATAGGGATGATGAGGGTCATATATTAAAAATGATGCAAACTATTTCATGCATGGATAGTCTGGCTCAGTTCATCCCTGATCACGCCATGCCTCCCAGCCTCCACGCCATGCCTGGGCACTGAGCAAAAGGCATCGCTGGACAAAGTGTCCTGACAGAAATCCCGTTCAAAGCAAGAAAAGAAACTACTAGTAACACGGGCATCGCTAGTAGTAATGCCCTTAGTTACTAGTAGCGATGCCCTTGTTACTATAGGAGCTTCTTGTCACTTCGTTCAAAGCAGGAAAGCCGAAACTGGGTGAAGCACCTGACCCAGTTGCGGCCATTTTTGGTTTGATATGCGGCCTTGCTTCAGGGTCGAAGCATGAGTCTACCTGGAGAGTCGGTGCGTACCTCGGAAAATGGGTACAAGAATACGTTCTCAGGTCATGTCCATTTTCTCAGGTATACTTGAAGATTATGAAGGAATGCTGTTTCTTGGAGACAGGGCTCATTTCTTAAGAAAAGGTTCCCCCCTCCGACTGCAAGATGTGATGCCAACCAGAAAGAAGAAACACACCCCTCCATCTCCGTCAGCTCCTTCGTGTGGACCTCCCGGCGGGAGTCTCGACTGCGCTGCGCCTGCAGGGAGCGTTGCTTGGCCGTCTCACGGAGGGATGCCACGGTCGAAGCCCAACACCTGGTCGCGCGGTCGCGTGGTGCGTTGCGTGGTGCGTTTGGTGGAGCGTTTGAGGCCGTGTGGTGTTGGAAGCATCTCTTGGGGTCTCTTAAGGGGTTGGTGTTCGGACACTCAGCTAGAATTTTGTAGAATTCACAAGTCGCAGAATCGTCTTCAATTGCCAACTGTTTTGGAATATGTTCCATAGTAATATTGTTTAAAAGCCAAACTACCTTTTGCAAAAACTGTTTTCTCCCATGTTGCTATTCAAAACACACACGCACACAAAACCAATAGATATTATCTCTAAAAGAAATGGTCTTTAAGGGACCTGAAAAAAGGAACATGTTCTTTACTTCAGTCGGCGAACAAACATGTGATTTTGGACTTCAGGGTTATAGAACAAAAAAGGCGCAAACAACGACCAATCATTACACAATAATACGACTTGAAGTCATCAAAAAAGAACCAAAAACAACAAACAACCAGGAGTCACAAGACGGGGTGGTGTTTGGTCCCATCCAGTGAGTGGATGTTCTGGGCACCCCGACTACCTCCATAGATAGCACCCCGTCTTGTGACTGCTGGAACATGATGAAATCAAGATAAATCAAGGGGGACAACAAAAAGAAAACTAAGATCTTGGATTTGTTACGAAGAACGTCACATCTTGGGGGACAAAGGGCGGGGCGCTGGGACACAATCCATTGGATTCACTCCCAGGCGCCACAGCAGCGAGGCCACCCAGCGTTCCAGCGTCGCGGTGAGCGTCGGCGCCGTCGCTCCGAAGGCGTTGGGAGGACCGGAGCTCGCATCGGCCATGGCGAGGATCGGGCCGGGCGTTGGGAATGGGGAGGTCCGGATCTGAATGGTGGAAAAAGGTGAGAAACATGTGAGAAAAAACCTATAATTATAGACTATATATATATATATAACATATATATCTGTTCTATACACATACATATACCATTCCATGTCCATGTCCGTTTAAGTATTGAAGTCAAACCATGCAATTCAAAATAAAGAGAACACACTAAATAAAGACGCTGCAAATGACAGGGATTCTGCTGACGGTTGGTGACGTGGAATGTTTCTTCCTTGTGACAAGGACTATGTTGATGAACAACATTGATTGAGATCCTTTCACACACACACACTCTCCTGAGTTATGGAAGAGAAAGTCACCCAGGTGCCAGCTGATTGAAGGACTGTTGGCACAATATAAGCCATTAGGAACGACCAAAAACAAGTGTCAGCTTAAATTAAACATGTCAATGTATGCTTGGAGTCACAAAGTACATCGGAAAATGGGTATAATGTCACATTTTCTAGGATACTTTGGAGATTCCAGGTACATGTGCCTCTTAGACATTACCAGGATTTGCATTAGACGCGTGTGACTTCTTTCGGACCCCCGCCGCACCACTTGGCATTGCCCCAGTCGACTCGGGCCAAAGACCGCATGAGCGGGAGCGAGCATCGCATTGCATCCACGGACCGGGCTTCGTTCCGAGAGTCCAAGCATGAGGTTGAAAACGATGGAATCCTTCCCCTGAGATACACCCTCGTCCTCTTCTCAAATCAAACAAATTCCCAAGCTGGTGAAAAACTAGTCAGTGGGTGAACAAATTCCTCGTAAAAGTTGAACATCAAAGAACAGATCCAAAACCACCACCTTGCAAGTTCATCCGGGGCACATCCAAGAAGAAGTCCACTTCCCTCATCTCAGAACCTGCTGCCATCCGTGGCGCGTAACGGCCCTGGCGCCACACAGGCACTGGGTCGCCGAAGCCCAAGTTCGTGATCCTCAAAGACGAAGCGAAGTCGGAGGAAGGCATCAAAAAAAGGATACAGTGATGTTGGCCTTAATTTAGTCCCGAGCACCTATTAAAAAACGGGCCCCAATTAAACAAGTCATGTCGGATCTCCTTAAATACGGCTTATCTTTGTTTTTAAACTGCCGCCCTTTCAAGCCGCTACTAAACTACCAACATGGCCGATTTTGATTAGGTTCCAAAAACAACCGTAACTGCCCACCTCTGTCCGCCCTATCTATCCACCATGACACGCCGCGCTTACACCAGCAGGCTTTCCTTCCCCCCATGGCACGGACTCACGCCAACGCACTTGCCACCGAGGTCATGCAACACCGCATGGCACAGCGACATCACCTTTCGAAAGCTTTAGCTGTTAGTCTACTGAAGAATCACTATTCTAATGAAGGTTTTTGTAGGGGAAAAGGAAGACCCTTCGATCTGGAGCTTTTTTGCATTTTTGATACGAGTTTAATAAAGGACTTTATATACAATGTTACTGGATTACTTTTTGGTTTTGAAACTCTTTCCAGGTGACCCTATTTTGGACCTGCCGGATTTCAGGGACCCCCTATTAGAAAAAATGCGACCGAGGTGTCCATATTAGGGGGGGGGCGTGTTTTTTAATAGGTGGACCGGATTATTAGAGGTCCCCAAATGGATATAGAAACAATTCCTAATACATTGTTGAAGGGGCTTGTACATGTTCCTTTGGGGGTAGATATCTCGGCAGTTGATTCATTGAAATTCCACAATTAATGAGTAATCCCCCAGGCCTCGAATCAACTGCCAAGACCAGGAGACCTGAGTCAGGAATGCCAATTGGTGGCCACCGGGGTGTCTATTACCCCGTTTACAGGGCCAACCCCTCTTGGGGTCTCCTGGCATAGACAGTTGATCCATTGAAAGTCATCAATGCCCCCCAGTGGCCCAGGACTCGAGACGCTTTACCAAGGACATGTTTATTGATACTCCAAATCCAAATGATTCATGCCAAACATGTTGTGATATGTTGTGATTCATGTCTTCATCCACACGAGTCGCCAGGCGTATTTTGTGGGTGATGTGGACAGGCAGGATGCCAAATCCGTCCAGCTTGGACGTTGCAAAGTTGCACATTCAAACACATCCCGTGAGGTTGGCACCAAGGAGCAGCAGGCCAGCCAAATGGCTGGCCGCAAAAAGGTCTGTGGGGTCTACTAGGGGTTTGAGATCATAAAACCTTCACCTTTGACGGTCCTTGATTCTTAGGCTGGTATGCTTTTGATCTTTGCTTCATGTCGGATTTGGGCGGCTTGTAGTTTGAATGGAGCAGACCCAACGCATACCTTTGCCATGCGCCAAATCTGAGAGGTGCGCTAGCAACTCTTGACTGGCCGACTGGCTCAAGTTGCTATCCTCTCGCAAACATCGTCAGCGTGTTGCAACCACTGCTACCTCCACCCCTGACAATACCCAACGATGGCATCCTGTTTCGCCTCGCCGAATCGTCTCATCACCCGAGTGGCAACAGGTTCACGGGGCCACTGCCTCCCAGCCCTGCCGTGAAATACGAGAAGTTGAGGTCTTCCAGCTCTGTACCTCCCCAGCCGTGGAGAGCCGTTTTGAAGAGCTCGCCGCACCATGCATTCTGGATGTCTGGTCCACCATTGTGTGTTTTGTTTTTTTTTTTCCCGAAGAAGCATGGTTTTACTAAACCCAAACACTCCATGTATGCCACATATGCCTACATTGACCCCCCAAAACCACCCCCATGTAGGCATATATGGCATACATGGAGTGTCTTGCTCAAGATTCAGGGATCAATTCCTTCATTTTTCAAGTCATGAAATCGGAAGGTCATCAGGTTACGGGCCTTCTTTCTAGTCATTGGTTACGGGCCGCAAGAGATGAACTCCCGTGACCCAAACAGATGAACTCCCGGACCGATTGGGCCCTTTTCACCACTCACGAACCGTCCATAAACCGACCACGACTCGTGAGTCTTCCTACGTGACAGGAACTAAAGAGGCACAAGGGAAAGACAATAGGACAAATAATAAGTCAAAAACAATCTCGTCCACAAAGGAAACCGCGTGATTAACGTACCTTCTAATTAATTTGCAAACAAAATAGCAAATAACATAAATGCAAATTACATGTGGACAGCTTTCGTTAATACACCCTACACCTGTTTTATGGTTCTTTCGGGACGCCATCAAACAATAAAGAGTGCCAATCATATTGTTTTTAAATGATCACTAACGGTGAAGAACACATTGTGAGAAGGAAGAAGGACAGGACAGCACTAGTTTTGGTATTTTCTTAAAGGACCATTTGTTGAGCCAATTTTTTCAGAAAGTACGTACCATTTGGGATCAACAAGTATGTCGTTGAACCTGGGCACCCCCCCTCCATATAACTGATATCATCGGGTGGATCTGGGGAGTGCCACAGGTGCCAGAGGCCATGTGATTGCCCTGTGCCCAGGGAAACCCGACCCCAGATGCGACGAACGGGACTGCCATAGGACTGCCGAGAAACGGCCAGGGGTGGTGCCAAGGGGGGCGGGAAGCTGTCACCGGAGCTCCTAGGGTCACCCGCATTTTTGGTGGCATAGCTTCCCGCCCTGTCAGTCGGGTCTTATGAAAGTGACCTGAGGACCCAGGTCACCCAGGTCAGCCCATCGAAAGCACATCCGTCACAACCCGAGATGGTGAGCAAACCCCGAGAATCTCGCGCCCACCGCACCGCGGCGTTCCGTGGAGCGTACCGAGTCTGTGGAAGAGCTGTAACTGTAGCTGGTGTGTGTGGGGGGGGTGTTTGTGTGTCAACCACAAAAGCTGACCACAAAGGCGAGGTGAACAGACAGTCAGTGTCAGTGGTTGCCGATGTGTCGCTTCCAAAGGGGCCTTCTGGGGCGTTCCTTCGGTAGAACAGAAAGTTACAGATCTGCAGGCTCCGCAGTTCCTCCGCGTGTTCGGCGCACTGCCAGCATCTCTCAAGCGCTGTGCGCATTCCATGGCCAGCACGTTGGAGAAGCCTGCGCGTCGCTTGCTTTCAGAGTTGTTTTAAGCTGCAGGAGTCGGAGTGGGTGCTTGGACACTTTAATGTTGACTGTTGATGATGGGATCCGGGTTTGCTTTGTCCGTTGATGAATAACCCCCCCATATGAGCTTGATTCATCAACAAACTATCAGTCTACATTTTGGGAACTCTAAAGACTTGTGGATGTGGAGGGCGACTCGACCTGTTTTGTCTTCAGGAAAAAGATGTCCTGAGTAATATAGGCTGGCATGCAAGACACGAAGACGCACGACAGCATTCTTAGAGAGTGAGGATAGTCTCCAGAAACGACTGAGCCATTCTCCAGGATACCTTCACATGACCAACACCTACTGGCTCCTTTGTTGGTTTGTTGAGCCAACTCCAATTCACCAAAAACAACTCCACCACCAGCCGCGCAGGCCCCTCCATTCAAACACCGCGCCGGCGGAACGAGGAGCACAGCGCGCGTTCTGCGGTGCCACGGCTGAGCGCCTGGAAATGCTCCAGCGCTGCACAAGGCCATCGTCTCAGTCTCTTTGGCCTTTTGCTCCATCGCTTCAGCCGCATCCAAGTAGCCTATTTGGAGGCGAAAGCGAGGAAGTCAAAAACTAACCCTTTCACGGGTATCTAGATCGATGTAGATGTATGTATTAATACAGCTCTTCTTGCTGAAGTTGGTCATAGTTGATCATACAAAAACAGTTACTTAATGAGGCGGAGGACCAGGCTTGGACCTGGTCTGTAGGGATTGGATTCCTGGCAGGGCCAAGTGGTGGGGGGTTGTGAAGTGGTGGATCTGCGCCGCACGAGATCGCGACGAGAGCGTGCTATGTCCAAGGAGCTCATGGGGTCTGCCACGTCCACATAGACTGGAATGCGCTCTTGAAGTGCTGCCTTGGTACTAGGCATTGTGTACCATGATAATCCATTCACTATATAATATTTAGCCTTCAAAGAAAATATTGAAATATTGACATATATTGAAATGGTTGACCTGGTTTTGTAATGTAAAATCCTGAGTAAACCAATGGTTGTCCGGTAAC